GTCATCAATGATGACTATTGCTTGCTTTCTCTTTATCATGAATCTTAAGGTGTGTGATGTTATTAACAGTAGGGTCTTACCATCTAGTTCTAGTGGGCAGTCAAGAGTGAGAAGAACCTGTATTGTTTTGGGAACCTGTGGAGCCTCCCTAACCCACTGAGATTTTTGAAAACCCATAGCTAAGGCTATGGGGTCGCAGGGACTCGGAATGCCAGCTGCTGGGCGTGGTGCCGGTCTCCCGCGGGCCGCGTTGCTGAGGCTCTCTGCTACCGGGGCTGGCGGCTCTAGAGGGCCGCTGTCAGCCGCCCGGGCGGGTTCCGTCCCAATTTCCACCGTGCACTCCCTCGAGATACGAAATCCACCGGCCCGCCAGATCACGTGGTGGGGCAGGTGGCTCTAGAGGGCCACTGTCAGCCGCCCGGGCGGGCTCCGTCCCAAACTACCGAGCACTCCTTCGAGGTATGAGATCTGCCGGCTGCCGGATCTCGTGGGAAGTGTGGAGACAGCGAAAGCAGGGTCTCCGTGAGTCGTGGTTTACGAAGAGACAGCTCTCTCTGGGAAGACTGGATCATAGGCAGTAAGACACAGAACTCAGCTCAGTCAGACTCAGTGGTACAGCTCCTTTATTCAGTGACTTAGCTTGGCTCCAGGCCTTAGTGATTCAGCTCCGATTAATTAGGGGAAACCAGGATATTTCTACTGTGGGCGCAGTGGCAAAAGCCTTAGTGGATAGGTGCTTTCAGGATGCCCCATTTACATGTGGTGGTGGGCTTCTGCCAGGCTGCCAGACATTGCCTGATTATCACACAGGAAAACCTGGCAGTTTCAGAGCCAGAGGCCATGTTTCTGTGACAGCTACTTCAAAGATGAGTCAGGAAGAGAGTAGGAAGGCACCCTGCTGATAAAAGGAGTCTCTGCATTGAACGCCGAGCCCCGTGGGCTATCCGGACATGGAGAGACTGCTACTTTACACAACAGGGGTCCCCAACAGAGGCTAAAGAGATGGCTCAGTTCCTAGCACCCACTTGGCAGCTGACAGCTCTCCATGACTCCAGTTCAGGGGGATCTGCTGCCCTCTTCTGGCCTCTGTAGGCATCTCACAACATGGGTATACTTACATGCATGCAGGCAAGACACTAATGCACATAAAATAAAGATTTCAAAATTAAATAAAAAAACATAGCTTCTGGGAACATCTTTTTTCAGGCATGACAGTTTCTCCCTTCGAACACTTAGAAAAAAAATTATATATATATATGTATATATACATATACATATTTTATATGTATACATATATACGTATATATATGTATATGTATGTATGTATGTATGTATGTATGTATGTATATGTATACATAAAAAGGATTTGGTCACTCCTAAGATGCTAGGTTTCTATATAGCCCTTTCAGAACCCCTGTGTTTTATTACCCACCCCATCTCTATTTCCCCACACTCCCTGCTTAAACCTTTCCAGCCCCAATATTCCCTGTCTCTGCTTTTATATTATCTACGTTTTACTATTGCTACCCCTTTCTACAGGTCTTCCAAGTTGAGCACCTTTGAACACAGGACCCACCTATTAGAGATACCTGACATTTCTCAAAACCAGAATTTCTAAATAGTTTTTTTGGAATGATGAAATTACTTATAAAAAGAAAGCAGAAAATAATTTCTGTGTATTCTCATCTTTGAATAGGTCTGATAAATTTTGAAAACATCACAGAAATGGAACTTAGTTATTATAAAC